CCCAGGAGTTGGAGGTTGCTGTGAGCTGTGATGCCACAGCACTCTACCCAAGGTGATAGCTTGAGGCTCTGTCTCAAAAAAAAAGAAAAACTAGGCTTGGCACCTGTAGCTTAAGCGGCTATGGCACCAGCCACATACACCAGAGCTGGTGGGTTCAAATCTGGCCTGAGTCCGTCAAACAACCATAACTACAACCAAAAAGTAGCTGGGCATTGTGGCAGGTGCCTACAGTCCCAGCTACTTGGTAAGCTGAAGCAAAAGAGTCACCTAAGCCCAGGAGTTGGAGGTTGCTGGGAGCTGTGATGCCATGGCACTCTACCCATAGCAATAGCTTGAGGCGCTGTCTCAAAAAAAAAAAAAAAAAGAAAGAAAGAAAGAAAGAAAAAGAAAGATGGTAAAACTAGCCTGGCATCACAGTGGGCACCGGTAGGCCCAGCTACTCAGGAGGCTGAGGCAAGAGGATCTCTTGAGAGATCTACCCTACCCAGGGTAACAGAATAAGACTCTGTCTCAAAAACGTCTGAATTAGTTTAAAATTTAAAAAGCCTTTTTAGATTTGTCAAATGCTAATGAGCTGCAATAATGTGTAAGACACTGTGTGTAGAAAGGAAAGAGAGGTCAACCGTGTAGCCTGCCTTCAGGGAGCTCGGCCTGCAGAGAAATCACCGGGGATGATGCCTAAACAGTCACCAGACTGCAGGTGCATGTGGGATAAGACCTGGCAAAGGACCTGAGGCACGTGGACAGCACATGGGGAGGGACGGCCCTGTCCTGGCCACCACCTGCTGTGTGATGAGCCTTTGGAGAATGCAGGGTGCCTGGGCCTCAGAAACACAAACCTGAGGAATTCTGTGGCCACTTATCTGAAGGCTGCAAGAGGGCAGGACCCGTATCACTGGATTCACAGCCTCACTGCCAGTGCCTGGTGTGCAACCATGGTCTCCAGAAACATTGACCGAATTATTACAGAACTGGGTTACGACCAAGGAGGAATCACTCAGTGTCCTTAGCTTCAATTTCACATTTGTCAAATGATACTGCCAGATAAGCCTTGCCTTGTAGACTCGTGGTGATGGGTAACTAGTCACTAGAGGGGGTACCTGAGCGACGGCTGTGGCAATGGCACACTCACAGTTGCTTCCCTGGGTTCAGCGAGCCGAGGTCCAGCTCCCTGTCAAACTCGGTGCGGATGTCTTCCAGGGCCCCGTCGTCCCCGAAGGCCCCCCACTCCGTGTTGATGCACATCCGCCCCTCGTCACCTTCCACCAGGTCGATGTTGCTCATGTCCTCCATGTAGCAGGCATTGGTGCCAGTGCCTGGACAAGGGATGGCAGATGATACGCACAGACAGCCGGCTCCCAGCTGGGCAGAGACAGAGAACTCTTGACCGCCCAGAGTCCTCCTGAACGGACCACAAAGTGCCTTTGACTCACTCTGGGGCTGGTTCTCACTGAGGGAAGCAGCTTTGGCAAGCCCCAAGTCCATGCGGAATAAAGCTGACATGTCAAATCTGCGCTTCTCAGTGTGTTAATAATTTGCTGTTATGAATGGAGTCGACTGTGAAGAAGTCCCTCATGAATATGTAGAGAGCTCACAAAGCACACTTACAAGGGGAGGATAAATTAAGCTAACCTTGTAAATAAATTTTAAGAGAAAAGACAAAACATGGCAACTCAGAGTAATTTTTTAAATTCTTTCCCTAAGTTGCTTTGCTTCCTCTCTGTTTGATACTAAAAATATTCTTTACTTATGGCTGCCAGAAACGGCTCCTCGCATAAGCTACATCCTTGTCTCTGACAGTGATTAGCTGTCACCTAAGACAGCAACATTCATTATTCAAACGCTTCTCTCCAAGGAAGTGCCTCAAAAGCTTGCGTACTGGGGAAGGACCGCACACAGGGGTAATGTTTTTGGAATCTTTGGAGGTTGATGAAAATGTCCTAAAATTGGATTGTGGCAATGGTTACAAAACTGTAAATTTACTGAAAGTCGTTGAATTGTACACCTAGAACAAGAAGATTTTTTTATGCCTCAATAAAGCTGTTTTGGCCAGGCGTAGGAGCTCATGCCTGTAATCCTAGTACTCTGGGAGGCGGAGATGGATAGATTATCTGAGTTCAGGGGTTCGAGACCAGCCTGAGCAGCCCCATCTCTAAAAATAGCCAAGTGTTGTTGGCAGACATCTGTAGTTCCAGCTGCTTGGGAGGCTCAAGCAAGAGAATCACTTGAGCCCAGGAGTTTGAGGTTGCTGTGAGCTATGACACCATAGTAATCTACCAAGGGTGACAAAGTTAGACTCTGTCCCCAAAAAATGCTGTTTAAAGAATTTTTTTCTTTTTTGAGCATCTTCTTCTGGCAAATACTCTGGCCTGAGTATTTTAAATGCCAACATGAAAAACGACAAATGTCAAAAGGCAGACAGTAACGTCATATTTGGAAAAAAGCTTCACTCAGGAAAGTGTGGCACTGTTCAGGCCTGGCGTGCAGTCTGTGGGTTAGGAGACATGGCCACAAACACAGACACACCGTGGACACATAGCAGCTGACGCCATGACTGGCAAGCACCTGTCCCATTCTAAGGGGTGGGGGCCCCTGGAAATGGGAAGGCAGATGAAGCTCCTCAGGTTGGAAGCCCTGTCCTTTGGAAAGGTCAGGCAGATGAGGGAGCTGTTGGAAATTAAGAAAAAGCAATTCAGGCCGGGCACAGTGGCTCATGCCTGAAATCCTCTGGGAGACTGAGGTAGGTGGACAGCTTGAGCTCAGGAGTTTAAGACCAGCTCGAGCAAGAGTGAAACCTCATCTCTATAAAAAAAACCAAACCAAACCAAAGAACTAGCTGGGCAGGCATAGTGGTGCATGACTGGAGTCCCAGCTACTTGGGCAGCTGAGGCAAGAGGATTACTTAAGCCCAAGAGTATGAGGTTGCTGTGAGCTATAATATCACAGCACTCTACTCAGGGTGACAGAGTAAGATTGTCTTAAGAAAAAAAAAGCAATTCAGAAAACTTCCCCCAATACGGATGAAAGAATAAAAAAAGGAAAAAGGATATTTAAGAACAACCTGGAAGTCAGAGCAATTTGGCTTGGTTATACCCCTACCTGTCTTCCCCTTCATCCTGCACAGCCTCTCCCAGCGAGGAATGGAGACCACCCACTGGGCACCCCACTGCCCATGACCTCACTGATCTCCAGTGCATCTCACCTCACAGTCCAAAATGGAGTCCTGACTGGTCACCTGCTTCCACTGTCGTCCCCAATGACCAACTCTCCACACAGCAGCCAAAATGGATTTCTTTTTTTGGGGTTGTTGAATTTTGGCCAAGGCCGGGTTTGAACCCACCACCCTTGGTGTGTGGGGCCGGTGCCCTACTCACTGAGCCACAGGCACCACGCCAAAATGGATTTCTTAAAATGCACATCCACTTATCCATCCCCCACCCAAAGTCCTCCAATGCCTTCCTGCCTCCCTCAGGGTACAAGCTGGTGACCTCCCAGGCACAGAGTCTCACATCTGTGTGATCAGCCCAGGATGCCCACTCTCTCTGACTTGAGTCACCTACTACCTTCAGCCTGCACTCACTCGATTCTACCAGCATCCAGCCTTTCCCTGGGCACTACCCGGCTCCTTCCCATCTCGGAGGCTGCAGGCTTCCTCTTTCTTTTTTGGGGACTCCCTCTACTTGTGTATTTTGGTCACTGAGGTCCCTGCTCAGAGAGGCTTCCCTGACCGCCTGGCTCCACCCTCACTCACATCACCCTGCTTTGTGTTCTTTATTTCACTAACTGCCGCCCCCAATTATCTTTCCAGTTTAGGTTTCTTTGACCTCTCCCAGACTCCCTGCCAAAGCTCCAGGAGCACAGGGTCTGTGTGAACCCAGGGTCTGTCACACAAGGGACACTCAGCAAATACTTGCAAAACAGACGATCGAATGAAGGAAGCAATGTATTGGTTTTCCATTTCCTAATGTTGCTTCTCCAAAATAGAGTCAGTGCCCTTCCCACAGAATTTACTAAGAGTTTGCAGAAACTAAGCCCCGAAAACATCCCCTTTCCCATACCCCTCAAAAACAAGTCCAGTTAAGTTACCAATGATGACACCAACTTCACAGTAGGGATCGTCATAGGCACATGTCATCATGGTCCCCACGGTGTCATTGACCAAGGCTAGGACGTCCACATCCATGTCCTGCCGGACACAAGGCCAGAGGGCATCAGAGGGTGGGAAGAAGGAGTTTCCCTGCATCTTTCCCCCAGAGGGAGTGAAAGCCTGCCTGGAAGGAACAACGCCTTTAGCAAGGTTCAAGGTCAGAGACAGAGTCAGTGGGAGCTGAAGAGGGGATCCGAACTCTTGCTTTGTGTGAAGGCCTCTGTGTGATGGAAACATGAGAGACAGACGGCCAGGATCCCAGCCCTTGATTTTTGGGTCTTTAAAAATTTGTATTTACTGGCCAGGCACAGTGGTTTATGCCTGTAATTCAGCACTCTGGGAGGCCAAGGCGAGTGGATTGCTTAAGCTCTGGAGTTCAAGACCAGACTGAGCAAGAGCAAGACCCTGTCTCTAAAATACAGCTGGGTGTTGTGGCGGGTGCCTGTAATCCCAGCTACTGGGGAGGCTGAGGCAAGAGGATTATCTGAGCCCAAGAGTTTGAGGTTGCTGTGAGGTATGACGCTATGGCACTCTCCTGGGGCAAATGAATGAGACTCTGTCTCAAAAAAAGAAAAATTATTTATTCTTTTTTTTTTTTTGCAGTTTTTGGCCGGGTGCTGGGTTTGAACCCGCTACCTCCGGCACATGGGGCCAGCACCCTGTTCCTTTGAGCCACAGGCGCCACCTTTTTCTTTTTTTAGGAGACAGGGTTTTTCTCTCTCCCCAGGCTAGAGTGCAGTGGCATCACCACAGCTCATTGCAAACTTGAACCCCTGGGCTCAAGTGATCCTCCGGCCTCCACCTCCTGAATAGCGTGTTTCAGCTCTTGTTTGAGGGACCCTGAAAGGACACTGAGGAAAGCACATTTATTATGAGCAATGGCATTTCCATAAGAAAACATCAAAGTCTTGGTCCTAGGGACGTCAGCACAGCCTCAAGCCAAGTCCTCACTGTGTGCAGCACCCCAGCTTCCTGTTCCACCAGTCAGCTGGGTTACTGCAGCAAAATCTCCCACGGTTTAGAGGAACATTTTAAAGTAAAATGAGAGCAGGGCTGCTGGTGTGCACCTAGAGTCTTAGCAAGTTGGGAGGCTGGGGTGGAGGATCACTTTAGCCCTGTAGTTCCAGGCTGCAGTGAGCTGTGATTGTGCCAGTGAAGAGCCACTGCATTCCAGGCTGGGCAACCTAGCAAGATCCTGGATCTTAAAAAAATAAATGTAGGGTGAAAACAATAATAGAAAAAATGCAGACTACCAAAGAATATGATCCCGGCTTTAAACAGAAAAAAGACTGGAAGGGTATGTAGCAAAATATGCCTCCTGCTATCAGAGTAACAAGCAATTTGGGTTTATTTGTGAACTTTTTGTGCAAGGAGCAGGTCTTGCTTTTGCAGTTATTTAAATTAGTATAAAATATATTCAACAAATGGAGATATTTAGTGAATAGAGAACAGACTAGAAAGGGATCTTTGCTGCCTCAGAGAGGAGGGAGGGGGTTGTACACAGCATCTAGCTGCTGGGAGGCCCAGGGAAGAGCCAGGCCAGCTTTCAGTTCAAGCCCCACATAGCAAGACTACTGGTAGGTTTATCCCAATTGGCCACATCTGTACTACAGTGGGTCCTCCCCGAAGAGCCACTCCATCCCCGAGTCTCCCTCCAGGCAGGCAAGTATGAGACCCCCCACAAGAAAGGGACCAGGACCTGGAGAACCGCCCACACTGAGGTGAATTCCTCACCTTGTGTTTTTTCATGGCGTTGGTCAGGCGGCTCACTACATCTGTGTCTTGAACTCCACGGGCCTTAAATTTCTTTGTCCAGGAAATCAATACACCCTGTGGGAAGATTTCAGATCCAATCCAAAGGAAGGAGGTACTCAGATATGAAACTGAGCTACAGAAATGTCATGCCTACAGCCCATCCTACACGGCCATCTCTTGTCTAACCTGAATCACCCCAATTCTTTCACATTGCTTGTGAGGCCTTTTCTAATAATGTAACAATTGAGTTGCCTGAGTGATATTAAAACACTATATGCTACACAGGAGCAGAAAGAGCAATTGCTGGAGAGTTAGAGCACTTGGATTCACGAGACACTGGACAAGTCATTTAACCTCTCTGAGCCTGTTTGCTCATCTTTAAAGTGAAAACAGCACCTCCTTGGGCAGCATCTATGGCTCAAAGGAGTAGGGCACTGGCCTCATATGCTGGAGGTAGTGGGTTCAAACCCAGCCCCAGCCAAAAAAAAAAAGAAAAAAGAAAATACCACCTCCTTGTCTCTCTCAAAAGGAATTCTCTAATGAAAATATCTGGTGGGCTGGGGCAGCACCTGTGGCTCAGGGAGTAGGGCGCCGGCACCATACACAAAGGGTGGTGGGTTCAAACCTGGCCCCGGCCAAACTGCAACAAAAAAATAGCTGGGCGTTGTGGCGGGCGCCTGTAGTCCCAACTACTTGGGAGGCTGAGGCAAGAGAATTTCCTGAGCCCAAGAGCTGGAGGTTGCTGTAAGCTGTGACACAACGGCACTCTACCGAGGGCAACAGAGTAAAACTCTGTCTCTAAAAAAAAAAAAAAAGAAAAGAAAGAAAATGTCTGGTGGAGAAATGCAAATCAAATCCACTCTAAGATATCACCTAACCCCAGCAAGATTAGCCCACATTAGTCACAAAACACCAGATGCTAGTGTGGATGTGGAGAGAAGGGAACACTTCTACATTGGTGGTGGGATTGCAAACTAATACAGCCTTTTTGGAGAGAAGTATGGAGAATCCTCAAAGACCTAAAAGTCAACCTTCCATTTGATCCTGCAATCCCATTCCTAGGTATTACCCACAAGAATAAAAATCATTTTACCACAAATTTGCACCAGAATGTTTATTGCAGCTCAATTCATAACTGCCAAGTCATGGAAGCAACCTAAGTGCCCATCAACCATGAATGGATCAACAACCTGTGGTATACATATACCATGGAATACCATTCAGCCATTAAAAAAGATGGAGACTTTACATCTTTTACATTTACCTGGATGGGGTTTAAATACATTCTTCTTAGTAAAGTATTGCAAAAATGAAAAAATAAATAATACCCAATGTACTCCATACTAATATGAAACCAATATATAAACAACTACATGCTCATATGAACAATAAAACACAAATATAGTGTAGAATGGTGGGAGGGGGAGGATGATCGGCAGAAGGAGGGCAGGCAAGTCTCACCTAATGTGCACATTGTGAGGGTGTATAACACACCCCCGGGGGAGGGGCTCTTCTACAAATGGAACTTTACCCTGGAAGTAAGAACAATGTAACCTAAAAATTTATACCATCATGTTAATTTGAAATAAAAAACAAATTAAAAGAAGAAAAAAATAAGAAAGAAAAAGAAAATATGGTGTATTATCTATGCAGAATGTATGAAGGCCCACTAAACAGAACCAACATGGTAGAAATTTGCAGGACTCTGGCAGGAACTTAATTTCTATTTAGAAAAATGGTTCTCAGCTGGGCACGATGGCTTACACCTGTAGTCCTAGCTACAAGAGAGGCTGAGGCAGGAGTATGTACAGAAAGGCAACATAGGTTCAGCTGAGCCTGTGGCTCAAGCGGCTAAGGAGCCAGCCACATACACCCAAGGTGGCGGGTTTGAATCCAACCCGGGCCTGCCAAACAACAAGACAGCTGCAACCAAATATATAGCTGGGTGTTGTGGCAGGCGGGAAGCTGAGGCAGGAGACTCTCTGGAGCCCAGGAGTTGGAGGTTGCTGTGAGCTGTGATGCCACAGCACTCTACCCAGGGGGACAGCTTGAGGCTCTGTCTCAAAAGGAAAAAAAGAAAGAAAGAAACAGATTTTGTACAGAAATTGTTACAGGTCTCAATCAATGAAAGTCTAAGCCCAATCAGATGCTGGTCTGATTTTTTTTTCCCCTGCACCACAGCGCCACCGTGTGGCAGATCTCCCTAACTTCTGCCCCATAGGCTATGGCGACTTGCCTGCTCCACCCAGTACAGGCCCCGGGAGAGAGAAACATGTAGGTGTTTCCTCCAAAAGGGTGCTAGAGGTGATGTTGGGACCTGTTGAGGGGAAGATGTATGGGGAAATGAGGGATAAATGCTTCTGATATAATTTATTTTTTTAAAAGCAGTTACACACTACTATATATATATATATATATTTTTTTTTTTTTTTTTTTGAGACAGAGCCTCAAGTTGTCCCCCTGGGTAGAGTGCCCTGGCATTACAGCTCACAGCAACCTCCTACTCCTGGGCTCAAGCGAGTCTCCTGCCTCCGCCTCCCAAGTGTCTGGGACCACAGGCGCCCGCCACAACGCCCGGCTATTTTTTGGTTGC